GAATTCACAAAGTTTAACATACCACACTGCTCACATCCCATGGTCAATTCTCAGTCTTCATTTGACCTTGTGATAGCATTTGACATTACTGAATTACCTTTTGCTTCTTGGACCATTTCCTTTACTTTTAGGACTTTACTCTGTTTTATTTCTCCTGTTATCTCACAAGCCCCTCTTTCTCAGTTTCCTATGTTGATTCCTTGTTTCTGCCCAACCTCTTCCACTGGCGTTCTCCAGTTCTCTTGTCTCTATCCAGCCACTCCCTTAGCATGGTCATCCAACCTCAGGCTATCAAGCGCCATCTGAACCGTGTGGACTAAACTCTTGACTTTAGTGTAGACCTCTCCCCTGAACTCCAGACTAATTTGTCGAGTTGTCTACTTTCTCCATGTGGATGTGTAACACACGCCTCCAGTTTAACATAGCTTAAAACAAACGTCCCATCCAGCCCTGCTCCCACCGCCAAGCCTGCTCCCTCTTGAGTCATCGCTGTCTTAGATTTGTCAGATTCTGAATCTTGCAGTCATCTTGGTCTTCTCATTTCTTTCATATCCCACATCCGATCCATCATTTAAAATGTGATTGCCTCTGCTTTCAAAATATACCCCATACCTTGCCATAATCCCACTACCCTCACCCCCCGCACTGCTGTCTATGGTCTAAGCCCTTTAGTCATCTCTTGCCTGGGCTGTGAACAAGCCTCCTAATTGGGTTCTCTGCTTCTGCCTTGGCCCCTACTCAGGAAGAGAGAGGCTTGGAAAAAGTGATTTTGATTCTTAACACAAAATAAGAGTGATCCTTTTAAAATTTAAGTTCCAACTGCTGAATCACTCAGAACAAAAGCCACAGTCCTGAGCTTGACCTCAAGGCTGGCCAGATCTGGTCCCTCTGATCCCCTCGCCCACCACTCCTCTCCTTTCTCACTTCGTGCAGCCACGCTCACCTTTCTCTTCCTTAAAACCATGATGCAGATCCCACCTCAGGCCAAGGTGCTTGCTTTCTTCTTGGTTTAGATCACTCTGCTCTGCTCATATTCATGACTCACTCCCAAGCTTTCTTCAGATTTATTCTATGATGTTCCCCACTCAGGGGAAACTTTTGGTCACCTGATATAAAATAGCCTCTCCTCTCCTATGGAGGGAGACCTCAACTTCTGCTTATCTTCCCTGTGGAAAGAACTGAATATGACTGGGTGAGAGGGGGAAGAAGGAGAAAAAGAAAAAGAAAAAAATACCAAGGGGGAAGGGATATGAATTAACATCACAAAATATCATCCTGTTTCAACAGAATCCAGAGTTTCATGATGGGTTCTGGGCACACTGAGTGTGGGGGGCTGGCGGGGCTCCACAGTGGAAATGCCCAGTGGTCAGTTATTTCACCAGGTGAAATTCTTCACATCACTGTGGCACGAAGGAAAACTGGACAGGCGGCTTATCTGGTCAAGACTGGACTTGAAGGACATGGTGGAGAGGAGTTGCCATGACAGTTCTGAGGATGATGTGAATCTGGAAGGCAGCCCCTTATGGCTGATATTGCATCATCACGCTCCCCTGTGTATGCATAGCACTTCAGAGTTTGCAATTTGCTTTCATGCGTGTGACCTCACGTACCTTCTGGGCAAGCATCGCACAACCATATCACAGAGGAGGAACTACTCTTCCTGCAAGCCCCCCAGAAGGGGAAAGGGCAGGTGACAGCTGTCAGGAGTGTGGTCCTCAAATGTGTCCATCACTGCTCTCACATACTTTCTCTCTCATCCATTATTTTAGGATAGCTCTTAACTTAGAGTTCTTAATGATGGGTTTAGAGAGCCCAGAACCCTCTAAAGTTGTAGGAAACTTTGGGTGTGATGTATCTATACATTATATTTCTTCCCTTGATGGAAGTTTCCATAGATTTTGTAAGATTCTCACGTAGTCTGCAACTTCAAAATAACTGAGATCGCAGGACAAGGGTGCTGTTTCTCAAAGTGTTTTACCTGGGTTCCCAACATAAACAACAACAACAAAACCAGTAATATTTGTTAAAAAAATATTTCAGTGGTTCCTGGACCTCACCTCAAGTTACTCAATTGGGGCTCTCTGGGTATATCCAGGAATCTGCATTATTAGCTGGTATCCCAGGGAGTTCTTGGGCACACGAGTAATTGTTAATCAACTTCCATCTCTGTAGTCTACAGTTCTTGACATAAAGGCCCCCGAGGCTGAGTTATGGAGCTCTAGCAACTGTCAGTAGGGAGATTATCCCAACCACACAACATTTTTCCTGCCACAAGAATCGGATCAGCTCTAAGGCAACCTCCAGAGCATGCAGGACCTAGCAGGTCTTCCCTGGGCTCCTACCCCTTGGGAGCAACGAGCACAGGGCAATCCAGGAAAGCCACTTGCAGCCGTAATCTCTTAGGTGTTTTCATCATCTGCCAGGTTACGTCAGGAGCCCGAGCATCCATTCTTCTGCAGCACCAGCCACTCATTGGACTTGGGCATAGGTGCTGGTTATCAGTGTTGGCCAGGAAGAAGACCCCTCTTGGGCTGTTCCAGAGCTGTCTCTCTTATGGATACACTGGGGCAGGGGTCAAAAACCTTTTTCTGTAAAGTGCCATCTTTTTCTGCGGGCCATCTGGTCTCTGTTGCAAGTACTCAACTCTGCCATTGTAGCTCTAAAGCCATAGACAATATGTAAATGAATGGGCGTGGCTTTGTTCTAATGATGTTTGACCTACAAAGACAGGCAGTGGGCAGCATTGGGCCCACCAGCCTACTTTTCTCACCTCTGCACTGGAACCTTGATAGATGCCCCGTCTTCTTGATTTTCTCTACTGATACAGAGAAGTAGTGATGTGAAGAATCCAACACAAACAAAGAAGTCCAAACATGAAACCCCAACGTTCCACTTCCTCGATATATGGCGTCGGAAAGCATGACGCTCTTCTTGTGGCTGCTGATTTAGTTTTCTAATTATGTTTTGCCCAGGATGATATTAAGATGGGCTTACACTCTCTGAGCAGATCCCACCTGGGGCTCAGGAGGAGGCTGAGGGTGCATGTGGAGAACTAAGTGAACCAAGCTCGCCTTGTATTAAAATCAGTCACAGGTAATTGAGATAAGACTGTCTACAACCTGCCAGTGGGAATGAGACATGCCCCTGTGAGTGGCTGCAGTTTATTAAATTTGAAAATGGCATCTCTTGCCTTCATTTACCTGGCTCCCGGAGGCCTGTGCTCCAGCAAGTGAAAGTCACGAGGGCAGAGAGGCACCCCCCCACCCCAAACAGGGAGGACGTTATCCTGACTTGCATATTCTAGCACAGGAGAACAAGTGGTGGAGAGGATTGGCATTTATTGATTGTCTATTACGTATTAGGCACATTGGGATCTGCTTTACAAATAACAACAGCTAATATTTATTGGGTGCTTGCACTTTATTATTTTACTAGTTATATCATTTAAACTTCCCAATGACCCCACAAATTAAGTGCTATTATTATACTCTTTTCACAGAAACATAAGTTAAATAACTTTCTTGAAGTCACAGAATCATTTAAAACAGGCAGTCTTACTCAACCATGCACAGTTTTTTTTTTTTTTTTAAAGATTTTTTTATTTTTTCCTTTTTCTCCCCAAAGCCCCCCGGTATATAGTTGTGTATTCTTCGTTGTGGGTTCTTCTAGTTGTGGCATGTGGGACGCTGCCTCAGCGTGGTCTGATGAGCAGTGCCATGTCCGTGCCCAGGATTCGAACTAACGAAACACTGGGCCGCCTGCAGCGGAGCGCGCGAACTTAACCACTCGGCCACGGGGCCAGCCCCTCAACCATGCACACTTTTAAACATTTTGTTAGATGGCCCCCAAATTGTCTGTTTCATAGAAAACCTCCTCTTAGGGAGGTGTTATTAGCTGCATTTTACAAGAGGACCTGAGAACATGGGTGACTTTCCACAGGTATACACATAGTCAGGGGCAGCCCCAGATCCAGGTCTGTCTGACCCCAAAATCCGCATTCCCTTTACTGCTGGCTGCTGCCTGGGGACCTAGGCCGAGTCGTCCTCCAGCTAAATCTCCCTGTCCTCTCCTGACAAGTTGCGAGAGCAGTGTCTGCCTGTCTACCTCCCAGGACTGAGAGGAAGCTCAGATAATAGTCCTACACTTTCAAAATGATCTACTTTAAAAATGATACAACGCTAAATAACTGCAGCTTATTGATTAAAGATACAAGATTTGGAGTCTGATAAATCTGGATTCCGCCTCTGAATCTGCTGTTTGCCAGCTGGGTGACCTAGGAAAAGTTCCTGAGTCTCTGGTTTTAAGCGTTTTCGTCTACAGAGTGGGTATAGTAACACCTATCCCACAAGGTTGTTGTAAGGATAAAGTGAGGTTTTGTTAAAGCTCGACACCTGGAGACCAAAACTGTGTCATTCCTTCTTTATTTTATACTGATGAGACAAACTGCAGAACCCAGAGGTGTTAGAATAAGAGATTAAGGACTGTGGAAGTACAACCGCAACAGGAAAATAAATAGCTCAGAGAAAGAGATGCTGGGTAGGGGTCACGTCGCAATGTTGCCTCCTGATTGGATGGCTTCTTTCCTCTCATTCCAGATACAGCCACAGCTGTGGTCATACGAATGTGTTGGCAGACTCTATCAGAGTCTATGAAAATAACTCTGCTGGGCCCTACTGAGCAATCTACATTCATAAGTTTAGAAAAGCAGATAGCCATAAAGACCAGTTATACGGCATTTGCAGGAAGCTGAGCAGCGAAATCCCAAACTTGGTTTCCCAATACTGGGAAAAAGGAAGAGCCTATAGACCCAAGCCCCTTGCCTCCTGGCCAGCTGACTGCCTACCCAGACATGAAAGAAGAAATTAGGGATTCCTGTTGACTTAGGCAGCCTTTGTTGGAAGTAAAGTAATTGGTCTGAAAACGGAAATCCTGATCTGTAGAGTGTGTTCCAAAGTCTAAATTCCAAAGCAAAGTGGAATTTAGAACACCCTCCATCTGTACAGAAACAAGATGGTGGGTTGCTTCCCAGGCCAGCTCTCACATGAGTGAACTGAGGAACAGCGTCATTAGGACGAATGGTAGGGCTTCAGCCTTTGTTTCTGTGGGGAAATGAATTTCCTATCACATAGCAAGTGAGGGACATGAAGGCCCAGGGAAGAGGTGAATCACCAGCCGCAGCAATATCAGCCAGTCAGTGCCCTGCTTTAGCAAGGCAGGAAAACGAGAGGGTCAGAGAGCCTGAGCTAACATTTAAGAAAGCACTAAACAAATACCAGGCACTTTTTTTACTGCTCTTGTGATGGTGATGACAATGGTGATTACTGGTGATAAGGACTGACTTTCCACTGCAGCCATGGAAGCCATTTGCCACCCTGTGTGTTTTGAGAAGAGGACAGAGGAACAGTAATGTGAGATATCCTTCTCCCTTTTGAGGACTTCAGAGGAATTCTCTCTATATAAACCCTTTCGTGGCACTGCTGTTGGGAGATTAGGACTTATGTTAAATGTGGACTACAATTATGATGGCCACCTACATTAATTACTAACTGTGTGCTGGGCATTGTGGTATATATTTACTGTTTTGATTACTTACAACAACTCTGAAAGGTAAATATTACCCCTCCCATTTTACTGATGATGACATTTGGACTGCATCAGGTTTACTAACTGGTCCAAGGCCACATAAGTAGTAAGTGATTGAGTTGGTATTAGAGCCCAGATCATTTTCACTCCAATAGTAGCCTTTTTCTACTACATCATAACCTTCTGTTTCCTTAGCCTTTCTCCATTATGTGTTCTTTCTACAGGTCAGTTGGAAGAGCCACTTGGCTTGTGCTGAATTTAGAGACTGCTGAGTTTTGTTAAAATGTGGTTCTGTCTCTTTGACTAGTTATCAAGTGTCATTGTATGGCTCCTCACACACTATTCTCTCGAAGAACTTGAGGAAAGGATTGCAACATGAGTGTGTTTTATGATAGTCCCTGGTGAAATTAGTGGCCATGGATAAGGTTTCAGGATAATTCTTTAGGCCATTGTTCTAGACCCACTTTCTTTGCCAGCTGTCAGGGTAGTTCATATCAAATTCTTCTTAATGGGAGGATCCATTTCTACCTCCACCTTGCCTCTACCAAGACACATGCATATTTTCACACTGCTTTCAAACGATTCCTTATCAATTAGCCCTTTTAGTTCCCTTACAATGGAGGAGAAAGAGATCCACACATGTAAATTTAAAGGAATATAGTTTTTAATGCAAGGACTATATCACTTTACAATGTGCTCCCTCTGGTTTTGAAAATTCACTGGAAAAACTTAATCAATAAAATGGACACCTCATTTTCTCCTATCCCAGAATTCTGTAGCTGCTAAAATTATTTTCCTGTATGCAAAGGAAAGTAGACATGTCTTTCTCCATAAGAGTATTTGCATAACCAATTCCAGCTTAGGCACCTGTTATTCAAGCAGTGTGCCCATTTATCCCATTTCTCTTAGAGAAAATATATTCTTTTCAGAGTCCGGTTCTGGTCTGCCTGGAATCATGTGACATCAACTTCTCCCAGTATGATTGCCATCTTAGACTCAGTTTGATGTAGCTCTCTGCTTCTTGTGCTCTTGTGTTATGTACAATGTCTTGTACTGAAATATTTTATTTGTTTGTTTGCCTTGGTTTTGTTTTAGTGCAGTGCATTTGTTGGAACTGATCAGCCAATAATGATACATTACTATAACTGAAGTCCATAGTTCACGTAGGGTTCACTCTTTGTGTTGTATGGGTTTTGACAAATGTGTAATGCCATGTATCCACCATTACAGTATCGTACAGATAATTTCACTGCTCTAAAAATCTTCTGTGCTCCACCCGTTCATCCCTCGCTCCCTCATCCCTGAGCCCTGGCAACCACTGATCGTTATATTGTCTCCACAGTTTTGCCTTTCCCAGAATTTTATACAGTTGGGCTATTACATGATGTAGCCTTTTCAGATTGGCTTTGAAACAGTATTTTAACTTCTTAAAATCAGGAAAACTAGCTCTCACATTTATTAGGGAAGGTCTACCAATTTGCACTAATTTTGGAAGCTTCCTGGACAAGGCAGAAGGAGAGTCCTCATTTTGCTGCTGCTACCAATTTCTGGGTTGTTGCAGGAATGTTTTGAAAGGTGACGTGGGACGGTGTGAAGAGTTGAGTTAATCATTTTCCCCAGTTCCGTGATCATTGGCTCCCTCAAGTCCTCTCATTCTTGTTTGTTTGACTTCTCAAATTCATCCATCCGTTCATCCATCCATATATCCATTCATCCATACATTCGTGTATCCACCCACCCATCCACTGCATTCCCTTCTAATCCTATTGCACTGTCTGATCTCACCATTCTGATGTGTTGAATAAGAATCTCTGAATTTTATGTATCCTTGTAAAATGTAGCGTTCTTATTGTGTGAATGTTTTACATTTACTTAAATTGCACTGTGCTAATTGCTTCATTCTGTTTTTATATTCTCTAGCTGTTGCTGGTAAACAACCTAGTCTGTTGCTTCTTCCTGCTAAATAGTATCCAGATGGGCATCCTCTCCGTTGGTTTTCCCTTTCCTTGGCGATGGTCACCTACACTCTTTACAATGCAAACCAGGGCTATAGAGAAGAAATGTAGTGATGAACAATTCAGAAATTTTTACATTTTTTGAGTGTAGAAACCCATGAACAGCCATTGTTCCTGCCTCAAAACCGACTTGAAGGGGGACCCAGCACTTTCCTTTAACAAATTCAGGAAATAGATTCAAGTTCACAAGGGTTTTTAAAAAAATGAATATTTTACTGAGGATTCTATGGAAAGACAAAGATGAAGATAAGCCACTTATCCCTTGCCTTTCCCTCTCGCAAGGTCCCCTTACAACAACTCTACCTTCTTCCCTCTCTCTCTTGTAGCCCCAACATTGACATCCCTTTTCAAATGTAAAGTGACTTGGCTCTCTGGACTCCCCAGTAGGCCTCTTCACTTTCCTCCCACTAACCTGCAAATAAAGTATCCTCTTCGGGGATGTTTCCTTCTTTCTAAAGTGTGTGTGTTAAGGGATGGGATTATACAGGGAATTACAGTAATAATTTTTACATGCTTTGTTCTTTAGTTTTCTTTCTTGCAATTATTGAAATACACCAAAATTTTAAAATGCAATGAGCACACAATTAGAAGGCATCATCCTACTGAGTATTTATAATTATTATTTGTGTTCCTTTTATCATGCTTTACATAAATTAGCATAGATTCTTTTCTAATCAACCCAATGAGGAAAATGATATTACTTTCATCTCACATGTGTATTCTGTTTGTAACTATTTATTATGTGCCAAGCACACGTTCTGTGATTTGCAATGTTTTATTTGATTGTTAGAAGAATGCTTTCAAATTTTTTAAAATCTCCTTTTGTAAATGAGGAGCCCTATGCCCAGACCGGTGATGCACTTTCCCAGTCGTGGAGACACTGACCCTGAAGGAGGTCGGCCTACAGACCTGCCTGGGTCTTCCATCACTGCTCACTGGTTAAAAAGTTTAAGGTACAATAATCCATTCAGCACTGAGAGAAAGCTTTCCATCTCCCTTGATACTCAGAATTTAGAATTAGGGGCACACAGATTTTGAGAGCCGAAGGGCACCTTCACATCATACCAGTGGGGTGTTGTTGCCAATTTGGGCAAGAAAATTCTTCCTTAGGCAAGACTGTTTTGAGCATCACTTGACATTTAGCGTTCTGAAAGCTGCCTACCAAATGCTAATAAGACTCTTCATTGATTGTGACATCTCAAAATATCCCTCACAGTTCCAACCCTCCCCCCACCCCATATTCAGATGAGGAAGCTGAGGCACAGGGAGATGGAATGACTGGGTCACACAGAGTTTCAACGCTGGCTCCAATTCCAATTCACCCAGGTGCTTTTAAAAATGTACCAATGCCCTGACCCAATCTCGTACCAAATACGACATCTCGGGGTGAGAGCCAGGCACTGGCATTTTGAAAAAGCTCCCAGGTGGTTGAAATGACCAGCAAAGTGGTTAAGAGACCAGGCTTTGGAGTCATCCTTTCTAGGTTCAAATCCAGTTCTGCCATTTACTAGCTGTGCAACTTTGACCACGTTGTCTCGTATCTTGGTGCCTCCGCTTTAAAATATAGTTAATAGGATTTATTTCATAGGATTGTTAGGATTACATGAATTAATATATGGAGAAGTGGTTGGCAAATAGTAATAGGAGATGCCAGTTATGATTATTACTATTATTAACATCATTATTAGGTCCCAAGTCTCCTTATCTTCTTACTGATGCTCCCTCCCCTAAGATTTCACTCATTTTTGGTGGTTTATTGCCAAATATAAGCCTTGGGTCTGAAAACCCAGCCGTAACTCTGCATGGAGTTTAGGAGGGAGGAGCAGGAATGAAATAGTCTCCATAGGTGGGAAGGATGGAGCAGGGACGTCCTTCAGATACTGAATTTCTTTGGCTATTACTAACCTTCCCCAGTGGGACAGAGGATTCAGTGAATTGCACTGAAAGAAAGAAAGGTCATTGTCACCTCTCTGGATAGAGTGGCTTTGTGGAGGCCACAGCCTGGTAGCATTGAAAGAATATTAACTTCAAAGTTAGATCAGGCTTCAAATTCTGGCTCCGCAGCTTCCTAACTGTTAGATCTTAGGTATGTTACCTAAACTCTTCAAGTTTCAATTTCTTTGGTGGAAATAAAACAGCCTGCAATGCAGTATTATTGTGGGAACAAAATAAACTAATTTGTGCAATGCTCCTGGCACAGAGAAAATGCTCACCTGGTTTAGTTCTCTTCCTCCAAATGCTTCTCCAAAGGAACCATTCCTCCCTTGCTCTCCCCACCACTCCTCCCTCCCTGCTCACTCCCTTCCCAGCCACCCTGGAGGCTTGAGAACAGAGTGGAGTTAAAGCACATCATGTTGGACTAACAAATGCACAAGGATTGAACTGCTTAGGAGAGCTGTTTAAGAGCTAATGAGACTCTCCTGGATACCAAGAGGAAAAAGGCAGGGAGAAAAAAATTTGCATAACTCATGAAAGCAATTTTATTTCACAAAAAGAAGTGTGCCTTTTTTTTTTTTTTCTTGTTTAACTCAGCTAGTCGTTCCACTGCCAGTTTCCAGCTGGGCCCACTCTGTGCCATATTATAGACTGTAGACGAGTAAGAATAGAAAAGAAGAATTTCAGACTTCAGCTCTGGAGTCTAAGCAAAAGGCCTGGAAGAGCCACCATGTCGGATATTTAGCTTGCAACTCAGAGTAAGACAATGCCCACGCCTTTGTTGGTGGGTGTAAATGTTATGTTGAAGGATAGCCTGAAACTGGATCCCGTGAAGCTCAAGGCAGTAGCAAATGATAACAGCTTGAATCCTTGATGTTTCGATTCCAGATCCCTTTGTCCTGTAATATCCCTTTTGATCCTGAAATAGTTCCAGGAAAACAGAGATTACCGTCTTCATGTTATAGACGGAGATGCTGACACTCTGAGAAATCAAACCAATTTGCCTTGAGTCATGGAGGACTATCAAGTGACTTCAGATTTAATATTGAAATCTAAGATGACTGACTTTAATTCCTATTCTTACTACTTCCATTTATATTGACCTTTATAAAATGGCGTAAATAAGGTGCAGGCGTTCGTACCACTCATAAATATTTTTCCGTTTCTCCTCTGAAAACACTGGAAAATCGTGCTTGCCTGGCTCCTGAAGGCATGATCATATGACTTGCGTTAGCAAATAAAATGTGAGCAAAGGGATACGTAGCATATCCCAGCAAAAGCATTTAATGGCCAGAGAGAGTCTTTACACCAGGAATTGGCGAACCATGGTCTGCAGGCCAAATTTACCCCACTACTTGTTTTTGTGAATTGCATTTTATTGGGGCACAGCCTCACTCATTTGTTTATGTGTTGTCTCTGGCTGTTTTCACACTACACTGGCAGAGTTGGGTTGTTGTGACAGAGATCTGCTGGCCTGCAGCATCAAAAGTATTTAGTGTCTGCTCTTTTAAGAAAGAAATTATCTGGGACTGGTCTGGTGGTGTAGTGGTTAATTTCACACTCTTGGCTTCAGTAGCCATGGGTTCGTGGGTTCAGATCCCCGGCGTGGACCTATACACCACTCATCCAGCCATGGTGTGGCAGCATCCCATATACAAAGTGGAGGAGGATTGGCATGGATATTAGCTCAGGGACCATCTTTCTCAAGCAAAAACAGAAAGATTGGCAACAGATGTTAGCTCAGGGCCAATCTTCCTCACCAGAAAAAAAATAAAAAAGTTTGCCAGCCCCTGTTCTAGGCAGTTCTTCCCAGCCAGGTCAACTGAAGAGTCTGAGTGCCCCAATAATACAGGTAGAAGCTGGTGGAGGCTCCTTCAAATTGGACTGTTTAGCTGATGCATGTAGAACAGTTGGCCTAGAGAGTTGTCCAGACCCATTGTAGACTTCACATGAGTTAAAAATAAGTCTTTATTGTGTTAAGCGGCTGAAATTTTGGACTTTTTTTAGCATGACATAATCTGGCCTCTCTTGACGGATACACAAGTTAGTAAATGCTGAGGATAAAAGGAGAATATACAAAGTTGGATATTGGGTGATGGAAATGGCCATGGAAGGAGCGGATGGGTGTTCCTGCTTTGGGGACTGGCACATCCTGTGATTTTAAGATAGAAAGTTCTGGGCCAGAGATCGTGGGCAAATTTGCATTGTTGACAACTCTCCCCACCAGATTTAAGGTCAAGGGAATTTCCAGGTGTAACTCATGAGTTTGAAATAGTCATGTTTCCCTAAAAAGTTTTGTAAATTGAGTTCCTGCATAAAGATTTTGAGTGTTGGTGTATTCGGGACAAAACGGGCTCCCAGTTCTGAGATGTTATGTAAGGTAATACTCTGAAGGAATATTCTGCTTCTCAGGCTGAACTATTTAACCGTTTATAATGGTTGATGCTCAACATTGAGTGACAGGTTAACCCAGGCATTATTGAGGCTAATGTATCTTTGTTGGAAGACTGACTCCTCCATACCAGGTTTAGTTGGTATTTGCATGTGATTCTCAGTTCCAGCGCAGCAAAATAAATAAGGGCTGCTTTAGTGGTTTTAGAATTCTTGCAAGTGAGTAAAAAGGCTCATTCAACAAAGAAATGAGCATCTCTTTGACTTCTAAGTTCAGCAAATCTCCAACTCAAAGGAATTTCTGTTCGGATAGTAGAAATGAATTTCTATACAGTCTGAGGGAAATTCATCAATTTTCCAGGGACACAGAGCACCTGCATGGAGGAATAATTTTGATAATAATGTGTTCAGTCCTGTTGCATGTAACATGCTTTGACCAAAAGGGCCAAGGGCAAGGTATTTTAGACTCAAGATCTTGAATGAGGGCTGACCACTGAGAGACTTAGATGTGTTCACTGACAGTAGGAATGGGCACCATGACTCCTAGAGGCGTTGGTTACTTGGAGGGTAAAACAAAAATATGTCTGACATAACATTGGCCTTCCTGGAGCACTCAGCTTACTAGATTCATAATATCTACCCTCTCTCACAAACACTCCCAGCCATTGTCCTGCCTCTGAGGTTGGTCTCAGAATCTTCTGGTGTAGGCAAGTGCAGAATAGTTAAGAGGAAGAAGAAGATATGAGTATACTCATTGGATAAGGCTTAGATGGGGAGGTGCACAGAGCAGGAGGAATAAAATTGGCAGTGAGTGGATCTTCAAGAAGGGTTGGTATTAATCAGTAGAAATAGTGGTGACAGAGACCTCGAGCAACATAACTCAGAAACCCCACAGACAGTCACCTCCATTGATTTGTAAACAGAGAAACTGCCCCTCACTCCCTAGCATCCTAGAAGAAGAAACAAGAAAGATAATAGCTCGTTAAATACATTTTTATAAATTACTACAATATTATCTTAGTCTTACGACTGACAGCAGCAAAGAATCAAGCAACTACCTTGTGTCCTAAAAAACTCTTCTTCACAGAAAAAAATTCATTAATAAACATTTCA